AAACATGTTGCAGTCTATGGGGAAGGACAAAAGGTCATTTTCTCTTCTAGATATTGATCACTCATACGACGATGCAAACCATATTCCTAAATGCGATATTTGAGGAAGCTAGCATCGAAAGCGAGAATCCCAAAGATGTGCTATTGTGCAACTCACTCAACGCCGAGCAAAGGTCTACCTATGATGAGATAATGGCCACTATCTGCAGCAAACAAGGTAGGTTGTTCTTTGTGGATGGATCTGGTGGGACGGGAAAGACATTTTTGTATAGGGCACTTCTCGCAAAACTACGCAGCTAGGACAAGCTTGCTGTGGCTACAGCTACATCTAGAGTCGTGAAAGTACCATAATGCTAGGGGGAGGACGGCCCACTCGCGTTTCAAGATACCCCTCACTCTTCAAGAGGGCGGTTGCTGTAGCTTCACGAAACAGAGTGGTACTACCAAGTTGCTGCAGCAAGCAACTCTCATAATTTGGGACGAGACATCTATGATAAAGAGGCAAAATGTGGAAGCACTAGACAACAGCCTACGGGATATAATGGGCCGGTCAAACCTACCGTTTGGTGGAAAGGCTGTTGTCCTTGGTGGGGATTTCAAACAGGTCATCCCTGTTGTGCGGAAAGGATCCAGAGCTCAAATAGTCGATGCTTCTCTACAAAGGTCGTATCTTTGGGAATCCATGCGCCACCTAAAACTCATCCGCAACATGAGGGCTTAGAGTGACCCATGGTTTGTAGATTATCTATTACGCATTGGTGGTGGAACGGAAGAGGTTAACGGAGATGGCAGTGTACGTATTCTAGATGAGACATGTGTCCCATACTCTGGCGATGCCGAGAAAGATCATGCATTGATCAACATCATCTTTCCAGATCTAAATGCAAACGTGGCGGACAAAGACTACATCACCACCAGAGCGATTTTATCTACACGTAACGATTGGGTGGACATGATCAATATAAAAATGATTGATATGTTCCAGGGCGGCGAGACGGTGTATCATAGTTTTGACTCCACAGTAGATGATCCACATAACTACTATCCATCGGAGTTCCTTAACAGTTTGACCTCCAACAGGCTGCCTCCACATGTCTTGAAGCTCAAGCTCGGGTGTCCTGTCATATTGCTTAGGAATATTGACCCTGCCAATGGGCTATGCAACGGTACAAGGCTGGTGGTGTGGGGGTTCCGAAGAAATATAATCGACGCTGAAATCGTGGTGGGGCAGCATACTGGGAAGAGGGTATTCCTTCCTCGAATACCGCTATGCTCGTCTGATGATGAGATATCCCCGTTCCAGTTTAAGAGGAAGCAGTTTCCTATCAGGCTGAGCTTTGCCATGACGGTCAACAAGTCGCAAGGCCAAACTATCCCTAATGTGGGTGTGTACCTACCCGCACCGGTGTTCTCTCATGGTTAGTTGTACGTTGCGATGTCTAGAGCCACGTCAAGAACCAATATTAAGATCCTTGCCCTCCCGCCTGATGCGGAGGCACAAGAGGAGGAGGCCAAAAAGATAGAGAAGAAAAATACTAAAAAGAATGCCGAGGGAAAAAATAAAAAAGATAAGGATAAGAAGACCCCGATAGCGGATGGAACTTTCACGAAGAATATTGTATTTAACGAGGTTCTAACGCCATAGGCGAGGTAACATAACATTACTAACACATACAATGTATTTTTTTCATTCAATTTATATTGTACAAATAATATCTCACTAATGCCATATTTGTTGCTGTTCTTAGGTATTTTTAAATGGTTTATCAGACTCTACACGAAGATGTTGTATATACACTTGTGTGATGGCATAATGAAAATTGAACATGTGTTATATTATTGTTATAAAAATGACACTTTGAATGTTTTGTTCGTAATATTTCATTTTGTAACCATTCATAACTATTACACGTGTATGTTCTCAAAACCATGAGTTTTGTCGACTTTCCCCACTTTTCTCATGTGCCAATAACCGAATTAGCACCTGCATAATTACAAACATAAATTACTTGCATAAAATCAATGAAGCAAGTTAGCGATAATAGTGAACAATAGTGCTAAATAACACCATACCAGTGGTCGTGGGATGGCACGATCGTAGTGGCGTTGGTTCCGCGCATTCACGAGGATAGCTCCTTTGTATTTCCTATTGTTGCACCAGGGTCATTAGTTTGTGAGCACGAAAAAAATGGATATCGGAGATTTCTTCCTACCAATATTCCTGCCAATATAAAACATTATCGTAGCCGCATCACGAAAAGATCTATACAATAGAGTTTGTGAGCATGCGACGCCGCGCTCTCCATAAATGTGTTAATTTTATGAACTTTGCTTCTTAGATTAAATGTCACTTTAATGTATGTATTTAATTTTACAATATTATTATCTTATCGTGCGATCCGTGTGTTTTTAGTATAAAAGTTTTGTTATCCCGTAGCAACGCACGGACATGCTACCTAGTCCAAGAAAAAGTTCGCATTACCTCCTCAACTTTTGCGTATTTTTTCTCCCTGAACTCTAAAACCAGATAAACCACCTTCCTAAACTTTTAAAACCGTTCGTTTTACCTCCTGACCAGTTATAAGCGGTTTTCAAAGGCGAATTCTTTTTTTATTTATTTTGGCTGAATCTTTGAAAAATCATAAAATAGAAAATCTAATTTTGTTGAACTCCACATGAGTAGATCTATAGAGTGAATATATAATATGATATACTTTAGTATAAATTTTTTGCTGTAGTTTTAGATCTATACTTTTTCTGTAATTAATTCATAGCCATAGTTTCTTTGGTCCAAATATGGTGAAATTTTTATGATGAGCTAATTATTATATACTTGAACTGTATAAAAATTTTATACTCATTGAATCATATATACAGCTCGCTGTAGACTTATTCTGCTAAAAAAAAGCTCACCGTTGATTTATTATATTAATAATAAAATCTCATTTCAGTGCTATTTAAAAAAAATCTCAGCTCAGTGCTCAGTAATGCTTTTTTAATGCTCAGTCATGTTGCCGTTGCATAGTGACACAGCCCAAAGGCAAAAAAATGGCTTGTTGTTTTCAATTAGGTTTGGCTAATTTTTAATTCAATTAAAACAAATGAATTCTAAGATCCATATCAAATGCTAGATATATTTTAGTCTTATATGAAATTTGAGTAAATGTTAACTCAACTCAAATTGGTATCTTATGTGTGTACTCCCTCCGTTCCTAAATATTTGTCATTTTCGTTTTTCGAGAAACTACTTTGTCTATATATATATATAATATTAATATTTATGGTATACAATTAATATCATTATATAGATATTTTAAACTAATTTTTTAATACATTTATTTAGAGAAAAAACGTTACACATATTTTCTACAAATCGAGTCAAACTTTTAGCACGGAAATCAACGACGACAGTTAATTTAGGACAGAGGGAGTATCTCTTAGGGCGTCTCTAATAGCTAGCTATTTGGCTAGATATTCTGACGTGGATAGAAAAAAAGTAAGAGGGGGAGTAGTCATCGGCGACGAACAAATAGCTGATCTATTTTAAGTGGTCTAAAAATCTGAGAGAAAAACATATGGATTTAATAGTAAAAAAAAGAATATATAAAATAGTCTTTATTTTTTCTCTCACCTCTGTATAAGCGGGTTACGTATCATCATTGCGGACGCCCTTACCAAGTTGGAATAAGCAAAAGGCATGTCACGTGCGTCGAGGTGAGCGTGGCGTTTGATTGAGCAATTAAGCGAGCAGTTACGTTATTTCCAATACAGATCTTCTTGTGTCAGCTGTTGTCTACTACTTTTGAGCAGACATTTTGCTATTTTTTCTCATTAAATTGTGCCCAAATTAACCTAAATTTCTAACAATGCTATGGTCAACAATAACCAGGGTATGTTTGGATCCACTCGTCTAAACTTTAAACTTTAGAGCACTTTAACTCAGTTTTAAGCTCACCTATTTAGAGAATTTAGTCAGAGGTCTAAAGTTTAGAGGGGTAGATTCAAACGGACCCTAAGTTCATCGAGTAGGTAGTAGTGTACAGTTGTTAGTGGTCCGATTGGAGTGCCAAGTTGTATGGGATGAGTGACATACACTGCTTAGTTGTGTGGTTTTTTGGTCCAGTTTCCGCTCAAAAAAACTAGGCTGACACTTTCGTTTCAATCGGCATGTTCGCTTGTTGGTTTCAGTCAGGCTTATCAGCCATGATACAATGTTTTTCTCTCATAATAAATCAGCACCAGCTGGGCTTATCAGCCTAGAAACCAACCAGCGAACAGGCTGAATGTCTAATATAAATAGCGGCAAAGCTTTTGCCGTCCTTTCTAAAAAAAATCAAAAAAATCCTATTTGACAAGGTTCTATCTCTTTTAAAAATAATTCTATTTTTTACTTTTATGGAGAAGCTATAAATCCTAACACTTTCTTCCCTAATATATAAGGGCACCCACAGTCGTGGGTCAACCCATCTACGTGACGTAAACCAACCTCGAGTCGACTCTTGTTCTCCAGTCGTGCAGGCGCAGTTCATCACCCTGTTTGCTGATTGGTGCTGGTGCTGATTTAGACTGGCTGGTGCTGATTTTTTGTGAGAGAAAAACACTGTTGGCTGGTTGAATAAACCTGACTGAAATTAACCAACGAACATGGTGCATATATAGAGCAATGAAACAACGGCTAGTTGTGGGTAACGGTTGGGCGGTTGGGCGGTTGGCTGTTGTTTGCACCGTATCAAAATATTTTTTTTAATCTTCATTAATCGGCTCATCTGTTTGAATCGATTCCTGACACATACCATGAGTCAGATTGTTCTTCAGCGGGCATAAAGTCGACTCATGGCCTGCCACCTCAGCCTATGAGTCGGTTTTCAAAAACCCACTGAAGAATAGCTCATGCTCTTCTGTAGCTTCACAGCTCACGGGTAAAGCTCTTTTCCACACTAGTGTTTAATAGAGCTCTTTTCTACGCTACTTTTTTTATACCAAAGGACCCTAAGTATCATCATGCATGTCGTAAACACAACTGGATTTTGTGATACCCTCTGGCTGAAACCTCCATGTAGGTCAGTATCTCATATGATCATATCATCCAGTGATTTGTTGAAGGTCACTCTGACCGCATTTGCATGTCGTAAGCACTAACTCGTAGTTGACGATCTGTCGCGGTGTAGCAAAAACAAACGGAAAATAAATGGAATAAAAGGTGTAATTATTCAGCCTGTTCATTTTGACTGGATTAATTTATAAGTTATAGTTGAAAGTACTGCTAATTAGTTTGATGTGAAAGAAAAATATTATTTAAACTATAATTTATAAACCAAATACAAACAAATAAGTCGAAACGAACAGATTGATCGACTCCCACGGCGAAAAAATAAGCAGCATCTCTCGGCTTACAGCATCCAGCACGCACCCATTCTGTTTGTACGGACTGCCTCTGCAGTCAGCACAAGCCAGCAAATTAAACTAATAATTAAGGTCTTTTTAGATTGGAGTTAAAAATTAGTATTGAATAATATAGTATTTTTGTTTGTATTTGATAATTATTGTCCAATCATGGCCTAACCAGACTCAAAAGATTCGTCTCGTAATTTACAATCAAACTGTATAATTAGTTATTTTTTATCTACATTTAATACTCCATACATGTATCAAAGATTTAATGTGATGAAAAAAAAGTGAAAAAACTTACAATCTAAACCAAGCCTAAATAAAAGAAGCCAAACGCTTACGGATTCTTGACTCTTTTCTAGCATTTCTTTTCCTTTTTTCTTGGTGTTCCGGCCCGTTATTATGTTCTGTCTCGAAGTCAATTAGACAGTCGCTACGACTGCGAACCAACAGATCAGGAGGAGGTTGAGGCAATCAAAAAAAAAAAAAAAACAGATCAGGAGGAGCAATACAGAAGACTGGAACAGCGCCAGCGGCGGCCGGCCAGGGATTCTGCCTCTCGATCTCCCTCTCCGTCCGGTATGTTCTTCTTAGAACTCCTGCCTTTCTTTCCTTTCACTAGATTCCTGAGTCCCGCTTTGAGCTGAGATGGATTCATCCCAGTAGTGTTCTGGGTGCTCCTGTTTCTTGATTTCTTGCGGGAAATTTGTGCTGCTACGCGTTGGCCTTCATTCGCTTAGGAGATTCACCCATGTAATCTGAGTTGAGGGTTGAATTTTATACCATAAAAAATAAGAAAATTGTTGCGCCGTGGAATTGTCAATATGCACAAGTAACCCAAGAGATTTTTCTCCTCCTTTCCAACAGTATGGAATGTTCATTTAAATCTAGAAGCTGTAAGCTATATACAGGTTCTGTCCCTGCAACTTCACAACCTCGCATTTGAATGCATCTGTACAGTTGAATTAGCAAGGGCTGACTTTTACTTCACTTTTGAATTGAATGCAGAGCTTAGGCATTACTGTTTGCAGGATACGATACAAGATTCTCGACATTGTGTTTTGGTAAGATTCCCCTGAGGTGAAAATAACAATGTTTAAAACCAATGGCATCTTTGTCATTAGATGTATATTTGTACTGGTTTACTATTGTTTCTCCTGAAGCTCAAAAGGCCGTTGTCATATTTGTTTCAATTGAACTGTGCTCTTGCAGATCTTCTCGAAGTTTGCACTTTCCTTGATATTCCACTGGAGGCGCTGCCGATGGGCTGTCTGCAAACAAAGCACGCCATTCGATCGCCACACTTGCTGGATACACGCGAAGTTGTAGCCCTTGCTGCTGAAACATCTTGTGAGAAAGTGGATCTTCCAGATTTTGTTAATATTGCTACTGGAACACTGCGTGAGAATTGAATCCCATCTTAGAAAGAGGAATCAATGGATTGCTTTCAGATATACTGCAATGTTATTTTTTTTGAAAGAATCAATACTGCCATGTTTTCCTGCTTGCATTCATGCCTAGGTCCTTATCTTTTTCATAGTTTTTGGGTTAAAAAAACCTGACGAAAACACTGTGCCATTGCTACTTCTCTGACTAACTCTGATACTCATGTATTGTTGTGTACTTGTGTTTTGGAACTAGTTTGTTAAGCTCTGCCTATTGTTGCAGTTACAGTGAGTGAAGTTGAAGCACTATATGAACTCTTCCGGAAAATAAGTAATTCAATTATCAAAGATAATCTAATTCACAAGGTAGTCTCCAAAGCATAATTTTGTACGGGTAACAATCTTGTGATAAATTAATTTAATATGTCTCATTTTCCATTTTTCCTTTTTTCTAGGAAGAATTCCACCTTGCTCTCTTTAGGAGCAAGAAGAAGCAAAATCTCTTTGTTGACAGGGTAAGAGTATCAATTATGTCAAGTTGTTAGTTTCAAAATGTTGCTCACGACTTTATTTATTGTAAAAAGAACAGCTTCTCTAAGTCCTTCCTCCCTAACAAATACCTGATGATTGTTCGTTGATGAGAATTTTTTTGCTAATTGCTTTTATCAGTAAATGTCAGCACCCATCTGTCAGCTCTGTAAAAGCATTTCTACTTCAGTGTCATAGTTGTAGCTTCTGTGCAGTTTTAAATCATGAATTGGCAGAGTGTGATATACAAGGCTTCAAGTCTTCAACATAGGGTTGATGATGATGATGATTTATGCTTTAGTTCAAGAATAAATTCAATGTGGTAGTGTTGTATAGACTTAAATCAGTTGTATGTCTATAAAATTTATTATAACAGAGCTCAAAAATAAATTGCAGGTATTTGACTTGTTTGATCAAAACGAAATGGTGTAATTGAATTTGGCGAATTTGTTCGATCTCTTAGTGTGTTTCATCCAGATGCACCAGAAGAACAAAAGGTTGCATGTAAGAAAGTTATTCTACTGAGACTCAGAACCAGAAAGTTCTAGGTTTACTTTCTTTAGCTAATTATTTTTATTTGATTACTGCAGTTGCATTTAAGTTGTATGACTTAAGACAGACAGGCTTTATAGAACGGCATGAGGTAAGCATTGTTTTTCTTTTCATTAGTTACTTTCTGGCTTTGAGTGAATGAATGTAATGAATGATGTACATTCTTTGTATCCCTGATTCCTTGTTATTGAATATTCATATTAAGCGTTCATGTCAGAGAGGTTTTGTATCTCTTTCCTTTTTCACTTGAAATCTGCAGTAAGCACACAGCAATTGAGACCAATTACAAGAAATTGTGTTTCTGCAATGGGAAAATAATATATAGATTGCAGCGGCCAGCGGGAAGGCATTCCTTAGCCAGATACATTACCAATTAATATATATATATATATTTTTCTTTCCAACTGATTACTTTTGAAATCATGTGAAAATAGTTCCTTCTGAAACTACCTTAGTATATGCTCAGTGGCATCTGAAGTAGTAAGCTACAGAAACTTGAGAAAGCCCATCTTTGAAAACTTATTTCAAATATAATAGATCAGGATCAGATGGATAAATGTTACTCAGTTGTATTTCTGAGTAATATATGGCCTGTAGAGAATTTCATTCTTGATAGATAATTATGGTGTAATACCAATTAATTGCTGTATATTGTTGTCTTTGTTTTGAAATGTCAATAGATAAACTGGTTGTCTTAGCTGGACTTTTTGTGAATGGTCTTTTGACCATTTATCCCTTTAGTCATGTCTATTGTAGTGAGCATGTAAGTTCTGCCTAAAATATGATTATTAGGAATATTTCTCACTATCCTCAGTTACGTTGCAGTTAAAGGAGATGGTGTTGGCTCTGCTGGATGAATCAGATTTGGATATTGCGAGCGATGCTGTCGAGATGATTGTTGATAGGGTAAGAAAATATTTATCCATGTGTTCCTCTGTGGTGCAGTGTCCTAAACCCCAAGAATACAAAACAAATATATCCATTTTGCGTGGTGCTGAATCTGTTGATGTTGGTTGTTGATAGACATTTGATCAGGCTGACACAAAAGGTTATGGGAAGATAGATCAAGAAGAATGGACTGCATATGCTAAAGATAATCCATATGTGCTGAGGAATATGACCCTTCCCTACCTCAAGTATGTATGCATGAGTTTTCGTAATATTTCTCAATGGTATATTAGCAAGACACCTTGATCAATAGAGTTGCCCTGTTATTTGACATTTTTTGAAAAAAGAATATAAATGTGACCATAGAAGTCTATTAGGGTTGCATCAGTTTTGTTTGTGGTGGGAGAATGTATTTCTTTGTTTTACATCTAATTTGTGCCCTGTAGGTTGCATTCGCATGACTAGCTGTTATGTTTTGTAAATGGAAGTAATTCAGACGTAGCCTTCATTTTTGGGTGGCCATGTACACCTTGACTGATTTTATAAATGCCCTTCCTTTTTTGATGAAACTATGAATACCCTTCGTTGACTATTGGTTGCTCATATTCCTCAGGGACATTACTATGGTATTCCCAAGCTTTGTGATGCACTCAGAAATCAGTGAAACAGACATGGCTGTCTAACCTGAAAAGTAACTGCAAACTTGCAACGTCTCTGTACATCCTGATCTATATATTAATGATGAAAGGGTGCACTTGAATCTTTTCATCGAGAAAATGTTTGCAATGCTTCTCTCGTGAATAGAAATTGTGGACTGGTGTAAATGGTGGAAATAGGAAAAGTGTTTTGTTATCTTACCAACAAGCAAAAGAGCAATGTAGCATCTAACTAAAGCATTACTGACCAAGCGTACAATCACACGGCAATTTGTCCATTGTTGGCTGATCTTTCTATTATTTCGGCTTTTAAGCTGGACAATGCTTTTCTTTTTCTGTTTGATGAGATGGGTGCTGAACAATGCTTAGGTTAGGAAGTTGCAGCCTCGTAGATCAAGTGCGGCAATTGAATTCATGATCATCCAAACAAAAAGGGTGTACCACAAATTGATGCTTACCTGTTCTCTCACGAAAAAGGGGTTATTGGTCAATGAGAATAAGCTAATATATGATTCTTTCAATTAAACATTATGTGACATTGCTACAATATCTATGGGTTTTTTATTTACTTTTTATGGTAAACAAATTCCCATAAGAGCAGAAATTTGTCAATTCTCAGGTGCAATAACTTCAAATGTTCACACGGATCCATGTATCTTTAATTTCTCCAATTCCGGAGTGTGAATCAATTACACAAAACTGTGATGTTTCGTTTTAGGCAGACAATTTTGCAGGCATGTAAACCTCCAATGCAAAAATATTAGCAAGGAAAAATACTTATAACTTGAATCTGTTCCTATGCAGTAGTCAGAGATTCTTGATGGTATCTAGCTGGAAGAACCTGCTATTCCTAAACAGATCTCATATGGTGTTGCTGCCAAAGAAGCCAGGAGCAAATGTGGTCTCGGCTTTCAGGCCGTTCTGTCTTCAGAATTGTTGTGTGAAGATTCTGTCCAAGATCTTAACAACGACGGTGCAGACACAAATCAACAACCTTATGGGTCTTGACCAAACAGGTTTCATCAAAGGGCGCTCAATCACAGAAAATTTCGTCTATGCAATGGAACTCATCCAGTGTTGTCACAAGCGGAAAAACACCAACGCTTGTCGTCAAATTGGATTTTGCAAAAGCTTTCCACACAGGAAGCTGGGAAGCCTTAGATTCAGTTATACAGGTCAGAGGCTTCACCCACATTTGGCCAAGATGGATGCGGCACATAGCACAATCATCTCGATCAGCGGTATTGGTTAATGGATGCCCCGGTTTCGGGGTCTCAGGCAAGGGGATCCCATGTCATCGTATCTCTTCATTCTTGTGGCAGATGTGCTTTAGGTCCGATGAACAGATAAGGCACCCGATTATTGCTGGTACAAGTTGTCCGGTACTTCAGTACGCGGATGACACGTTGGTGTTGGTACGGGCTGAGTTGCACGACATACAGAGGCTAAGAACACTGCTCGATCACTTTGCACAAGCCACTGGCTTCAGATTAATTATGCCAAGAGTACTGTCGTGCCAATTCATATGAGCGAAGAAGCTATGGAGCAATGTGTCTCAGTGCTGGGATGCCAGAGGGAAGGTTTTCCCCCAAACATATCTTGGTCTCCCTCTGTCAACCATCCTAACCAGCAATGAACTCATCAACATGACAATATATGACAGTTTAAGCATGAAAGCTCAACATATAGCTTATTCTTGTGCAAGTTTCTACTCCTAGTAGAACTCAAGAAGTCGTCAGTTGTTCCACTGGAACGCCACCGGGCTCCTGACTTTATGCTTCTCGTTCGCCCAGGTGATCTGCCCGAAGCCCCACCCACCTGCCTCCCGGTTCCCTCCGGCTTCGTTTCTGAACTCCACCGAGTAGCTCCTCGTCTCCATATGCTCCTTGAACTCCAAGGTTGTCGGCGTGACGGTCACCTTCACGTGCTGCGGCGCCACGACAGTGACATTGTGGCCGGCGGGGCCGCCGGCGAGCGTTCCCGTGCAATTGACGAAGTCCGGAACGAATCGCCGGCTCGCCGCATCTGTTTCGCGGTGTAGTTCAGGGCGCAGAGGAAGTCGACGTAGTCGCGCGCCCCGGCGTCGTAGACGAGACCCGGGTCCAGCTGGACGTGCCCGCCCCCTGCCACCAGCGGCGTCGCGAGCCTGACGTTGTCGGTGCGGCCCACGGTGGCCCCGTGCCCGTTGTTGAGGATGTCTCCGCCTCTGTTGTCGACCGTCGCGGCGGTCGTCATCAGCGCCGACCGTACCATGGCCGGCGTCCAGCTTGGATGCTTCTTCTTGATCAGCGCCGCGATGCCAGCGACGTGCGGGCATGCCATGGAAGTCCCCGAGATGATGTTGTAGTTCACTCTCGTCCCGTTGGGGACGGGGACTCCGGGGTAATCCGCTAGTGGTGCGTCGCTGTTGCTTTTCTGGTCGCCCGACCAGGCCGCAAGAATGTTCACTCCCGGCGCGACGACATCGGGCTTGAGGAGCTCGGGTGCTACAGGGTTGGGGCCTCGCGACGAGAATGTCGCCACCACCGGCTCCCGGTTCTTGTGGCCGATGACCGTCTCACACCCGAAGGCCGAAGCTGAAGGACGCCACCGGATAGGGCACCGAGGCCATGTACGCCCTGAGCTTCTCGCCAGCGGTGTAGCTGAGCGTGAGACCCGGAAGGGTGAAGGAATAGGTTGCGGAACCATCTCGAGACCACTCGTCAGGATCCACACCAACTATCCCTTCTCCACCAGCATTCTGCAAGGAGATGCCATCCGCGTCGCTTGCTCCGTCCATGTACACGATAATTTTTCCCATGACCGTGTCGGGCGTCCAGTCATTGAGGCTGTCCGTGAACACTAACTGGATCATGGGCGTGCCCTTGGCATGCATGGTATAAAGGGACTGCCCGGCGAGCACGACCCCGTTCCCGAGCGTGAGGTGCGCCGGGAACAGCCGGTCCACGGTGGAGGCGCCTACGGTGGTCATCCACGGCGCCGAGTTGCTCACGGTAGATGCCCGCGGGCCTCCATTGCCGCCGCCGAGGACGACGAAGACGCCTTTGCGCTCCACACCGAACGTGGAGATTGCGATCTCGTCATCGTGGAAGGGTATGGGACTAAGGTTTGCGAGGGACATGGAAATGATGTCAACGCCGTCCTTCATCGCAGCATCCACCGCTGCTACGATGTCGGCATTCTGGCATTCGCCTTTGTCGTCGCATGCCTTGTACATGGCAATCCTCGCCCTGGGTGCCATTCCCCACGCGGTACCCTAGGAGAACGTGTAGAGGCTGGCGATCTGGACCTCAGAGCCGGCGGCCGTCGAGGCCACGTGCGTGCCGTGTCCGTTCTTGTCCCTCGGGGACTGTACAGTCGAGGCCAGGTACGTGCTGCTCGCGCTCTCCGCCATGGCGTCCGCGGCAGCGTGGAAGGCCTTGGCGCCGATTAGCTTGTTGTTGCACAAGCTAGCGTTGAAGCCGTGGGCGTGGACGCACTTGCCCCGCCAGCTCGACCGGACTGGGCCGAGCCCACTGTCGTTGAAGCTCGCGCTCTCGGGCCATATGCCAGTGTCGATGAAGCCGATGACGACGCCGTCACCGAAGTCGGTCTGCTTCTAGGCGCCGTTGCCGGGTTGGTGGCCCATGAACCCAGGCGACCTCGTGGTCTGAGGGTACAGCACCCTGTCCTTGTACATGCCGATGACGCCGGGCGCGCTGGACATGAGCCGGGCCTCGTCGCCAGTGAGCTGGACCGCGAAGCCGTGCATGACGGTGTCGTAGGTGTACAGGATGCCGCTGGAGCTCGCCGCCCGAGTGGAAGAGGCGTGGGTGGTCACCATGGAATGGTACCACTCCTCCAGGGAGCCGAAGTGGGGTGGCTTGGCGAGGTCGTTGGCATGGACGATGTAGGTGGTGCTCGATGACTGAGGCTTCAGAGCAGCGTGGTTCTTGGTCTTTGGGGTGAGAACTGCGTCGGCGAACTGGACAACGAGGAGGAAGAGTGCTAGGTGGTGCAAGAGCCTGGTGATGGTGGTCGCCATTGCTGATGGATGTGTGCGCGTCAGCTCGTGGTGAAGGAATGCGTGCCCGGTGTTAGCCTTTTATAGACGGTAGAGGCCGAGCCCTGGACAATATATGCTACACAGCACAACAGTATGTATCAACCTGCCAAGCTGGTGTGGTGGTAAGGCCATGTGGTCGGTGGATTGCACTAGTAGATTTTACTCATTACAGATTGATGTAATACTCGTGAAGATGACATGTGGGGCTTAGGACCATTTGTCAGTGACAACAATGTCATTCTATATTGTACAATATCTGTAGTCCTATCGAGCAAAACTTGATTGGTATTTGATCAAGGAAAACACAGTAATCTCCAGGACTAAGAAATGTGGCTCGTCCAAGCCTCGTCCACGGTGCTGCAAATACTCACGCACATCAGGCACATCGCGGACCAGTGGATTGACACCGGGGCGGCGAAGCTACGTTATCTCTTGTGCGAGTTATCGACTTGTAATGTAGTCCGCTAGGAGGGAATAAGCTCAATGTAAAATCTTTAGCCCCTCCCGGTGTGACACTTCATGGCGCGTCGATGTAAAAACCTAATTTCTCAATCCTAAATATAATGACGCGTAAACCTTTTGGGTATTCGAGAAAAAAAATATGGCTAGTCAAGTGCCTCTAGTGTGTACAATTAAGCAAAGAGTACATGAATTTATTTGTGGTGTCAGTATGCAATATTAGTTAGGCCTTGTTTAGATCCCATCAAAATTTCAAGTTTTTTCACTTTCTCTCCATCACATCAATTTTTGGACACATGTATGGAGCATTAAATGTAGGTAAAAAAATAATTAATTGCACAGTTTGGTTGTAAATCACGAGACGAATCTTTTGAGCCTAGTTAGTCCATGATCGGACAAAGTTTGTCAAATACAAACGAAACGTGCTACAGTATCCGGATTGCAAAAATTTGCAATCTAAACAAGGCCTTAGTATTCAATGTGAGAACTTTGGTTATATGCTTGTTCAACCCGCAAGAAAGTTGTGTCTCATGGTTATTGGGCATTACCCCAACGTCAGGTGAGCAGTGAGTTCACCCAAGGATTGCCCTAGATTTAATTCAATCAACATGAACCCCTTCGAAAAATAAAAGGGACAGAACTTTTTGTGTGATTACTGAAAGAAAAGAAAGATGTCAAGTTTTGGGAACCAAGGTGAGGAGCTTTTGCCATAATTTGTGCCCTTTTAAAAAAATATTAAGATAAATTTATCATATATTTAAATAAATTTGCAGAAAAAGTACTTCTCGAGACTTCCCGTTTGGACATGCTCCATTCTGAAAATGGAATGCAACAAGCCATCTTGCACCAGACAATAGCAAATTCCTAGACACAAATATGTACTAGTTTTTCGGGCGCGCCCATGTGCGCGGTCCACTGGCCACACGTATTTTTTAGAGAAAAAAAAGATATAATCAAAGTTGGGCTGTATTTTGATTTGAGAAAAATCTGAGGATGTTTTCACAAAAAACGGTGAGAGTGTCTGGGGAGCGCGAGTTGATTTTCGATAAAGTGAAGGTCTTTTTTGCAAACAAGCCAGTGCCCATCCGGTCTGGACTGAGCGTTGATTTGGAAATAATACGAGGCGTTTTTTGTAAAAAATTCTGAGAGGACGTCTTGAGCGCAGGTTGATTTCCGAAAACTTAAAGGGGTTTTTCGTAAAACGACCACGGCTCACCCGATTTAGGCCGTCCACGCGGCCGATCGAACGGTCGCGAAAAGCCGACGACGTGGCCACCCTGAGGCCGCGCCGTGGCCATACCAAATCATATCTTTAGATCTAACGTGCAAAGTTGAAACCAGTGCTACGCTGCCCGCCGAAGAAAGCCTAGTGAGCATTCTGGGCTGTAAAACAAATAAAAATCTGGAGCTATCTCGATTTGTTAAACTAGATAGCTCAGTGTAAGAGTTTCAATTTCTTCAAGCAACCAAAGTTAATATAGACAGCAAATGTGAACTTCGAAGCAATGTCCATTAAGAAAAGATGGACCCTAAAGCAATAAGGTGCTCCTAAAAAATTAGATAGTTTCTCCTGTAGTCTCTTTCAACCATAGTTCCATCATATTCTGCTAATTTGAACTCAAAATGTCAATGATAAGCCCATATATATGGATACTCCTCACTTTGAGTAGTGGGCCACCTCGCAAATTAATCTGCAGCCATCTATATTTCTTAAAAAGCTAATCCCTTTTAGAAAGCTAATCCTCACT